CAATATAATATTCTTCCTGAGTAATTTAGATTTATCTTTTGAGAATTATCTCTTGGTTAGTTCCTAATTAGCATACGGGATTATTGTACACTATAATCAATTAAAATATAGTGATTGCTTTGGTGGGTTATAAATACTAAAGTAGATATTAATTGCTTAGATGTGGTGTTTAGGCAATTGTTATCCAGTAATTGCTGCATATCCCACAGTACGTTTGAGGTAGGTGTAGAGGTGGTGATAGCCCTCAAGATCACTTAAATCCTCCTTGTCCGGGTACGTAATAGGACGACATCTGGGAATAGCGGGTTGCCAGCGCCTGAAGTATTGCATTAGGATTAAAGTTAAGCTTTCCCTAGACATTGTTTCACACTAGAAAATCCTCTCTATCCTGGCCTATCTTTTGCTTGGTGTCCTTAGATAAACCGGAGGAAGATCTGACCACACACGTTCCCTTGGATTCGATACCCTCGGAATACTCTGTAGGGGAAGTGCTACATCGGTATATCCGTGCGCTTGCAGATTTTATGTGTGATTGTAAGAAATACCAACAAGCATTTCTGGCGCCGTTGCTGGGGAACGATTGCTGATCAGTTCCGAACCCAGTTCATCCTCGTATCCTTTTTACTTTTTTTTCTACCGTTCCCCCCGCTATCCTAGAGAAGTATTCCTGTCAAACTCTTCTCGACCATGGAGCAACCTCTTTTTGAGCTGTCTACTCCTCGGGGCGAATTTTATGAGCCACCTCCTTCATCGAAGCCCATTTATACAACTGGCTATGAAATTCGTCCTGAACTAATCAGTATGGTTAGGAAAAATCCCTTTCCTGGCTTTGATCTAGAAAATCCCTACCATCATCTGCGAGACTTTGAACAAGTCTGCTCGTGCCTTAAGATTCATGGCATGAGACAAGAAACTGTGTGGTGGAAATTGTTTAAGAGAGAGCAAAGCAATGGTACATCTCTGACGTTGGATGTGTAAGCGGTAGTTGGGAAAAGTTGCGAGACGGATTCTGTCTTGCCTTCTTCCCATTTACTCGTATTACTGCCCTTCGGGTAGAAATTCTCAGTTTTAAGCAGATAAAAAACGAATCAATTGGTGCAACCTGGTCTAGATTCACTAATTTAGTGCAGTCCGGACCAACCCTGTCCTTACGCGAGTATGTGCTACTGCAACATTTCCATACGGGTTTGGATAAGGAGTCTGCATTCTATCTAGACATAACCGCCGAAGGATCGTTCATACACATGATCTTCCCATGGGATAAAATAAATACGATACCCTTGGAATACTCTCGGGTGAAATGCTACAATGGTATATCCGTGCGCTTGCGGATGAATTCTGTAACCATAATATACCAGAAGTATTTCTGTGCCATTGCTGGGAATAATGTTTCTAGTAATGACGTTAAGAAATACCAACAGACGGTCCGTGTCGCGCCTGTGTCATCATTCGTTCATGATGTTGCGGAGGTCCGCGTTCATCCTCTTATTGTTTCAATCTTCTCGCATAGGTCGCTAGTCGGGACAATCGAACGTGAGCTCCTAGCTTGAGAATGTTGACAATGATGTGGAGGTCAGGCCCTAGGGCTAGGGTGATGCATGGGCCATTCGGAAGACTGAGCTGCCGAGTTGGTTGTGGTAGGTGCCTCCACCATGGCCATCACCTGGGCGACAGGTGAGTTGATAGCGTGGTCTTCGCGTAACTTGTCTTGGACGGTCTCCAAAAGCGGCTTGGCCGCCACAATGTTATGCTAGGGTGTCTTGGATACTTCATGATCCCCATTTCGGTCTAGAGGATGGTGTCATTTGCCTTTCCGCCTCTCAGGCAGAGGTCTACCCAATGTTTGTCGAGCTCTTCTTACTGTTAGTTCAGGAGTTGCTCCTCGGCCTCTCGTTCTCGGGTCTCGGCTTCAATTCCCTTTGTCGTTCACACGATGAAGATAGTGCAACGAGGAGGGGAGGTTTCCTCGGAGATGCTCCCCGAACTATCCAGGTTGGAATCTGAGAGCCTAATGGCCTCATCGAGGAAGCCAACCCAACAAGGGCCAAGTTCTCGAGGCACTCGGATTTGACGGCGTGAAGCTCAGCGAGCCTAAGTGGTCCTCGAATAAGATGAGACTAGTTTAGCAATGTCGGTGAGGTACTCGGTGGTGACGACAACAACATTTTTCATGCCGAGTGGAGTAGGATAACCATGATCGAGCTCTTGGAATAGACCGGGTGAGGATGATGGAGTCGTCTCCTCGTGCGATGTAATTGGCTTCAGGAGGCCACCCAGGGTGGTGATGAAGTTGAGGAGGCCAAAGCAGAATTCTGCTTCGAGGCGAAGCATACGGTGTCGGTGCACCTGTGAGGAAGCTAGAATTGTCGATGAAGATCCGAAGAGAGCCGAAGGTGATGTTGCTTCCGATGGGGAGCCAAGCACAGTTCATGATCTTGATTACGGTGGATGTCATCTCCTCCTTAGAGAACACAATCTAGCGTCCCTTACTTGGCACGCCAACTATCAGTTCTATGGATCGGCAATAATACTTATGGGGTGCACAAGATCAAGGAGAGATGGTAACATGGGGATTATACTAGTTTAGGCCCTCAGCAAGATCTAATACCCTAGTCCAGTTGTGTAAATCTGTGTAGATGGTTTTGCAATATGGCGTAAGCAATAGCACGTAGCGATCACTCGTTTCAAGGATCTAGGTCCCCTTATATAGATGTCGGGAGACCGACTAAGGATGGTACAGTTTCCCTTATTATCCGGGTACCCACCATCTATTTACACGAGATAAGATTTATAGCCTTATCTTTAATCCCTTTCTTAGATTAAAAGTTAAACGGATGAGCCTAGGTCATTCGGCCCACCCTACACTTACAACTCGAAGGCCCACTATGAGGTACCCGGATACCGCATACCCAACAATTTGACTAATCCCCTATACATGATGCACTTGTTCTCAGTGGCTTGCGGTGCCTTGCTGAGAATGTTTGTACTCACGCCTCTCCATTTTTTTTCAGCTTTAGTATGGTGGAAGAGGAAGACCTTCTTTGGGTCCTAAGGATGATGAACAGAGTGCCGGTTACAACTAAGGTCATGACACACACTCAACTTGCTTGTGGGCATGTTGAACGGTTGCTAATACCTTGGTATTTCGGTTTTCCGTTGTTGTTTTCTTGATAATTTATAGCCATAATGGCTCCAATAAAGATATTAATTAGTTTTTAACCTTTATTCAGTACGAACTATATAATATCTCAACTTTGTATGTGTGCAGCAACTGTTGATATAGACATTGGTACGAGAAAACACATGAGGTTTTCAGTCTACAAAACCAGGGGCCCACAGCTCCTCCAAACCTAGTCGAACCGAGCACGGAATTTACTACATTCAACCCAAAAGAGGATCTCCAACTCAGCTGTAGGAATTTTACCAACTGGATCGAGACAGTGCGAGGGACTTGCTACTTTTCAAGGGCCGGAAAACTCTGCTACCAACCCGTAGTGTCTAGGGATGGCAACGGGGAATTCCCCGTCGGAGGATACACAACCAGACCCGCCCCCGCGGAGGAGAATTTCACCCATCCCCGTCCCCGTGAAATGCAATGGGGCAAAATTGTTTACCATCACCGCCTCCGTCCGGGTAATTTATCCCCGTGGAGCCTCCATCCCCGCTCTTAGGTTCTCAGCATGTATATTTCACATATCAAAAAATAATTTTCAATCAAAAGATTATCACTCAAAATAGCCATGTAGTTTCAGCACTTCATCAACAACATAATAATAATACCAGATCACAAAGTTCACAGATGCATATCATCACATAGTCAGATGCAACAAAACTGCCCAAGTCAAACAAGTAAGCACGGATAACAAATTCGAATGGATGGAGTGATGGACGGAGGGTAGAAGAGGAGGCCGACGCCCGGTGCCGACGCACTGACGGTCTGAGGGAGGAGGCGAGGAGAGGCGGCGGCACTGCGACCTGGGTGGTCCGGCGATGGGACGACGCGGGAGCCGGGAGCTGGGCGGCGCGGTGTGCGTCAAGCCTGCACAGGCGTGGATGCGGCAGGCGCGACGGACGCGGACGCGGCAAGCGCCGCGGGCACGACGGGCGCGGGCGCGTGGCCTGGGATGGCGCCGTCGCCGCCAGGAGCTTGGGAAGAGAAGACGGGGATGGATCTGTGTGGGGATGGATCTGAAGCTAGGTTTTTCTTTTCAGATGATTTATATACTCTTTGTTTTGGGCTGGGTTGCTATGGGCTGCTGGGCCAAATATACATAAAATCGAGCACATACATAGTTGTATCAGGCCTCCACGGAGAACGGGGACGGGGGACGGTGCACCATACCCGCCCCCGTTAGACCCGATGGAGGCTCTTTTCCCTCCATTTAATCCTCCATAGAGACACAATTCATACCATCCTGGCCTCCTAATAGGAGGATTCACCGTGGGGAATCGGGGAACGAATACCCATTGCCATCCCTACTAGTGTCCCAGTTGCCAACTATGATATCTCGTGCCGCACTCCACCAGGCAGAGGAAATGGCAGTAAGAAATTTGGGGAGGAACAGAGATAGTTTATTAATTTCATTCCTGTATGTCTGATTACATCGCTCACTGCTCCTTTTAACCCCTTTGTCTCTCTCACACACACATGGTCCCACGTGATCGGTGGCCTCTCACATTTAGGGTGTGTTTAGTTCATGCTAAAGTTATAAGTTTGATTGAAATTGGAACGATGTGACAGAAAAGTTGGAAGTTTACGTGTGTGGTACAGTTTTTATATGATGGAAAAGTTAGAAGTTTGAAGAAAAAGTTAGGAACTAAACCAGACCTTACGAGGCTACTGGCAGTGTTCACAATTCCGACAAAAACCGGTCGAATTCCGTGAAATTTCGAAGCCCCATAGCTTGTCAGTTGTCACCTCTGCTTCTCCTTCATATGCGTCCCTGCTTTTCCTTCGAGTGATACACCGTCAGGTGTGACATGAAGCAATGGCGCAGAAGGGAGAGAAACTGAGACAGACTTGTTTATTGCTTCTTATACAAGTAGCTAATCCCACTAAACAATCTCAACAAACTTACTTTTCTTTGTACACCAGCATCATGTTCGACAGTATAGTGCAGCCCCTCATAAACATATGTTATGAGCCTTCCGTTTATCCAATATTCTTCTTCCGGTACAATTGCAGCACATTTTCTTTTTTACTTTTTCCTTTTTGACACAAGAATTGAACTATAGGGTACAACACTCGCACAGTCACAATCTCGACAATTCACACAACCGCAGATGATTTACCAATTCCCTTCTCAAGATCTTCCCAGATGGCGATTTGGGTATGGAGTCAACAAACAGCACTTTCCGGATCTTCTTGTATGGAGCTACCTGCTTGGCGACATTGTACATGACTTCTGCTTCAGTAAGCTTGCTTCCTGGTTGCTTTACGACAAGTGCTACTGGTATCTGCCCTGCTTCTTCGTGAGGATACCTGAACACCATCATAATGGTTACCCAATTCTTCGCACCAGCCATCTTTCGGTCATTGATATTTTTCTATATAATTACGCATGTAATGTACTACTAGGAAAGAAAAAATGCATTGTATCTATTAGTTTTTCTATTGCAGAATGTACAGAATAGAACCACTGGTTTGATTTGGACAATGTGTAAATTAGTTTCGAAATGATCAGGTAGGATGACCAGTGATTAGTGCACTCACGGCATAACTGCAGCATCAACAATTTGTGGCAAAGAATGCAGGACAAGCTCCAGCTCTGCAGGTGGTACCTGAGAAACATTTATTTACAAGTAAATGATTAATACGAATAACTGCAAATGTAGTACTACTTGACACTTCTTTCAGGGATGTCGAGTAAACCTGGTAGGCCTTGTATTTAATCAGTTCCTTTAGCCTGTCAACTACAAAAAGAAACCCGTCCTGATCAATATAGCAAAGGTCACCAGTTTTCAGCCATCCTTCAGAATTAAAGGTGGTTGCATTGGCCTCGTTGTCACCCACGTAACCTGCGAAAACAAAAGTGTAAGTCAACTCTAGCGAGGCATTCTCAAGCTCTCAATATAAGTCTATGATAGCGTTGATTTGGTTCAGATAACTTCGAAGATCCAGCTACAAACAGCCGTGGTTACTCGCTGTGCATGAAGGGTTATGACGACCTGACGATTACCCGGGGCTTTCTAGTCACGCTTAGTTGGTAGCTTGATCAATGAAAAGTCTACCTCCACCAAATTGATATTTTCATACTCATTGAAAGATTGGGGCAGTTGACATATCAATCTAAAAATACGAGATTTGGAAGGAATAGACAGTCCCCCAAATATTTTTGTATAAGGGAGGATTCGAAACTGCTAGCCACCGCCCACCGGATCCCATATATATAAGTCTCCTCTGACACATCATTCTCAATGTTAAATTCCTATTGCACAATAATAGTAGTAGTCCTGAGGTTCGTGTTGTGTATTATGATCACCTGTCATGACGGCAGGCCCTCTCACCCAAAGCTCCCCTTGCTGCCCGGCAGGCAATGGCTTGCCTGTTACATGGTCAACAATCTTTACCTCGACATTCTCAGTGACACGGCCAGCAGAGCCTATGTGGTTGCACTCTTCCTGGCTGATCATCCTTGATATGCCACCTGCCTCGGTTGATCCATAACCCTGGATTGAATTAACATCGACCAAAATAGTTTAGTCAAGGAGGACAGAAAATAATCTTGAGCCCCTTCATAATGAATCTAAGGCTAAGTTCGTTTGAGTGAGTTCCCAACTCCACTCATTTTTCAACGCACGATTTTCAAACTGCTAAACGGTATGTTTTTTATAAGAATTTTCTATACGAATATTGTTAAAAAAATCATATTGATCCATTTTTAAAAAAGAATTAGCTAATACTTAATTAATCACACGCTAATGAATTATTCCGTTTTCCGTGCAGGAGGAATTATTGAATTTCCTCTTCTAGCAAAGTTTCCGCGCATCCATTTTCTCGCTCCTATACGACAGTGAGGAATAGAAATCCTATCAACTTCCCACTTTTGATGTCCTGTTTGACGATTCTGCTAGAGAAAAAAAAGGACACCAAATCACTTTATATTTAATCAACAAGGAACTTTTGTACTTTAAAATCTCGAACTTTCTATTAAAATCCGTAGATTTTCTAATTAAACCTTGCGCTTCCAAATCCAAAATGTTACAAATTGAGTGCCCCATATACCAACGAGGATCTGGACGCCACATGTTTTTTTCTAGTATCACTACTGAGAGCTAAGTGGGGTGAGATCGTCAGAGGAACGCAGTCCTTTGACACGCGGGACCAATCATTTACGGGTATACCCCTCCGTCAAAAAAATCAATCCTACCTACAAACCTGGACACAAATATGTCCTTTGACACGCGGGACCAATCATTTACGGGTATACCCCTCCGTCAAAAAAATCAATCCTACCTACAAACCTGGACACAAATGTGTCCAAGCTCGTAGCTACGAATTTATTTTTTTTTGACATTGTCAGGTGGGATATTATCGTACGTCAAATATTTCGTGGGCCAAACTTTATCATCAGCTTTGGTGCCAGACCACCAGGCCTATGGCCCTGTTTGAGAACCCAATTGAGGGGAGATAAAAGTTTTGGATTTTCATGGCACGCTTTTCAAATTACTAAACGGCGCGTTTCGTGCGAAAATTTTCTATATGAAAGTTGTTCTAAAATATCATATTAATCCATTTTTCAGGTTTGTAATAATTAAAACTCAATTAATCACAAGTTATTACCACCTCGTTTTACATAAAAACTTAATCTTCATCTTCATATTCATTTTTAGGAGATTCAAACAGAGCCTATCAACTCTTTATCACTTCTTGATAGCAGCAAAAGGAGCACCCTGCTTATGCTCTACTACTCCGTCATTAAAAAAAAAAACAAACCCTAGCTAGCTACGAACCTGGACACGCATATGTCCAAGTTTGTAGGTTGGATTGGGTTTTTTTTGGGATGGAGGGGTATATGTAAGGAAGAACATGGTGCACGATGGTGGGTGTTACTCCCTCCGTCCCTTAAAAAAAACCTAGCTAGTATGGGATATGGCACATACTAGTATTACGAATCTAGACATGTGTCTATCTAGATTCATAATATTATAGTGGGTTACGAATAATATAATGGGATGGTATTAGTCGGGGAAGTATCGGGTGCAATCACCTAATTCGGTGCAATAATACAACTCTTATGCTACACGGTTGGATCAAGAAATGGACGTCCGAGATTCATCCACGTCACCCTGAGTTAAAATTTAACTCGCAGATTCACTCGTGAGTTAAAATTTACCGAGAGTTAAATTTTAACTCATGGTGACGTGGACGAATCTTGGACGTCCATTTCTCGATCGAACGGTGTAGGATGAAAGTTGCATTATTGCACCGAATTAGGTGGTTGCACCGGATACTTCCCCGGTATTAGTCAGTCATGCCGGTTGAGATGCATATACGTAGCAGCATCACAACCACCCCCTTTGTTGTGTGAACTGGATCCTCCAAAGGAATTGTGAATATTAAGTTGTACTTAAGTACATACGGAGTCTGAATTATAGATTTTGAAATTTAACAATTTATAAATTCAAAAGTTAATAAATACCATGTTGTACGGTTTGTGGAAATGTAATCTCCATGATTATGTTGAGCTTAGTATACTGTTTTTTCTATAATCAATTAATAAACATTGAGTTGTGCTTGGTCTGGAGTATCAATTTTTTATAATCTGATAACTAAAAATTCAAAAATAATAAATACTGAGTTATTAATCTGAATTATAATATTACCATGATTTAATAATTTTAAAATCCGGGTTCTATTTAAAATATATCTCACGTGCAGATGCATGCTGGTCAAACTAGTATCAAATATAGACTTAGGGTCATACTACTCATTTGTAGTTTTTGTCTTTTGTTAAAGCTACATGTCGTACAGATTTAATAGGTGAGTACGAACTACAAAGTACAAAGACATCGTGAATTGACAAAAAATAAAAGCGACTTCAGACAAACAAGAAAAGCGACTTCAGAGCGGCTCGCTTTGTAATCTCCCTGGCCTTTAAATATCGGTTATTGGTCCGTCTTGAGATCAGAGGGAAGATTTTCTAACACCTCATCGATCTTTAATTGGCTCTTAATTATTTTACACAGATCACACTTCACATGTTTAGAATAAAAAAACTACTATTGCAATTTAAATCCTTTTACGAGGGACTCAAGTCCGATCTTCAGATTATCAAAAGATCAACGTCATATATTTAATAAGGAACTCAATTCCGATTATTTTTTTCAAGAATTTTTCGCGATATTTGTTATTTTGTGTGTATGGAGTGTGTACGAAAAACTTAGGTGCATAAGATATGTTCCCATTTAGTATCAACTAAATTGCCTCAATCATATATGATATAACCATGTTGTTTACTTATTCTCTCTAAAAACTTAGCATACAAAGATGTCACATCATTATCCACTAACAATTATTACATTTAAGTATCATCCAAGCGTACTATATTATCTATAATTTAATAATTTATTAATTTTTAGAGATTTAAAATGTAAGCATGTTAAATCACCCCACATAATTCACATAATATTTCAATATATCTCTTCATCTTTTTCTATAATATCCTACATAGTTCATCCTCACTTAGTTCATGTTATTCTTCTTTTCTCTCGTTAAGTCATATCACATCTATTTTTTTTTTGTCCTTAGATGATCAATCTATGAATCAAATTATCTCTCTTTTTCTTCTCTTATTAAGTCATATCATGTCAAATTTTTTAGCCCTTAGATTATATGGTCTAAATTATCTTTTATCTTTTATTCTTTCATAAAGCCACGTCATCTTACTTTTACATTTAAATAATCATTCTACATACTATTTAGATTTAATCACATCAACTTATGTAAACTTAGTTTTATGTAAGCTCATGTTGTTTAAATTATCTTACATATTATTTTTACTCATGATTATTATAGTAAATTTTCACAGCAACGTGCGGCGTTTCACCTGGTATTATATACAGAATATGTAACGCGCTGATGCTCTACAAGCGTACAAACAACTTGTCGCGCCTAATTATTTACATCAACGTGCTGGTTGGACCAGTAGATAAAAAACAGGGGAGCGGGGAGAAGGGCTGAAAACGTGTCAGCATGGTGACATACTCCTTTCGTATTTTAATTTATGACGCCGTTGACTTTTCAACTGACGTTTAACCATTCATTTTATTCAAAATGTTTGTGCAAATATAAAAATATTTATGTCATGTTTAAAGGATATTTGATGATGAATCAAGTCACAGTAAAATAAATGATAATTACATAAATTTTTTGATAAAGACGAATGGTCAAATGTTAAAAAAAAAGTATACATTAAAATATGAAGGTAGTATAAATTTCGAGTATTTTTTTATCCAATTAACAGTAAAAATTTAATTTAACTGAAATACATCAACTTTTGCCGTAATATTACTACTCCTACATGTTTGCATTAGTGTTTGGTGTTTCGGTGGTAGCGTAGTTTCAGCAGCAAGAAAAGAAGGTAGAAACAGGCAGCTTACCAGAAAAGAAGTTTTCAGACTGTACGTGACGGTGACTCACCATGCACAAATCGACGTGGGGGAATCGCCGGCGGAACCGTTCGATCGCCGGCGCCGGCAGCGGGGCGCCGCCGCAGGTTATCCGCTCCAGCGCCGGCAGCCGGCACCTCTGCTTGGTCATCCCCAGCACCACCGGCGGCGAGGCCGTCATGTCCATGACCGCCCAACGCTCCGCCGCCTCCACGAGCCCCCGTATCCCGGCCCGCGCCACCGCGTCCGTCACCACCACCGTCGTCGCCCCCAGCGCGACGCCCTGCAGCACGAACAAGAACCCCATGGAGTGGAACATCGGGGCACCGAGCAGCGTCCTGACCTCCCGAGCCTTGGCCCGCAGCGCGTGGAACCCTGCCACCATGGCGATGAAGCTCCGGTGAGGCAGCGCCGCCGCCTTCACCCGCCCCGTCGTCCCCGAGGAGTACTGGATCGCCGCCGTCTCCGACTGCCGCACCACCACCACCGGCAGCGGCTCCTGTCCTTGGGCTTGGCCGCAATCCATCAAGAGGGAGCGGAAGTGTGGCGAGTCGAGGAGGACGACGGTGGTGAGGCCAGCGGGGAGCTTGGTGGCTGTGGACGAGACGGCGAAGGCGACGGATGCGCCGGAGAGGGAGACGAGGCGGGAAACCTCGGCGGGGGTGAGGGCCGGGTTGGCGGGGGACACGACGGCGCCGATGGAGAGGAGCGCGAAGTACAGCACGGGCACGTCGAGCCCTGCGGGCGCGAGCACGAACGCGACGTCGCCGCCGCGCAGCCCGACGCGCGAGCGGAGGGCTCCGGCGAGCGCGCGCACCCGCGACAGGAACGCCTGGAACGAGACGGCCTCGCCAGTGGCCGCGTCGACGAGCGCCGGGTTCGCCGGGAGAAGAGACGACGACGACGACGACGACGACCGCGGCAGCAGCGAGAACGCGAACTCCGGGAAGGAGAGCGGGACGTCCGGCGGAGGCAGCGGCACCGGCGGCCGGAGGCTGCGGAACGACTTGGTCGCGGCGCAGTAGCCGGTGCGCGTGCTCTCGCCATCCGCGTTCGCCATGGAGGTGGGAGCTGCCATTATTATTTTTTCTCTTCATTCGTTGGGCTTAGCTTTGGATACGTTTTTATAGATTACATGGTGTGGCCCTGGCAAGTGACGACAACCAAACCGCCATTAAATTTATATGTGTAAAAAGTAAAAAAAAAAAACACCGAGACCGACAAGAAGGCCATGGATCTGAGGTGGCAGGCTAATGGACAAGTCACAGCGTCACTAGTGGGCAGTGTAGCAGGTTACACAGTACAACTTGTGTGTGTCTCGTTGCTAATACTCGGGACCCATAGTAAATTATTGATAGGAGTGATGGATGCAATAGTGCAGTATACTCCTTCCGTAAAAAAAAAAAAAGACACTCTGGCTTTCGTGTCCAATATTTGACCGTCCGTCTTATTTAAAAAAATTATAAAAAAAATTAAAAAGACAAGTCACGCATAAAATATTAATCATGTTTTATCATCTAACAACAATAAAAATGCAAATTATAAAAAAATTTCATATAAGACGGACAGTCAAAAAGTTGGACACGAAAACTCAGGGTTTACCTTTTTTTGGGACGGAGGGAGTATGTGATGCACGAGTAAGGCACGTACTACTCGGGGTGTAAAGCACAGTCACAACAGTCGTAATAAACAATTGAGAAGAGTACAAAAGAAAAAAAAAGAACCTCATGTGTCATTGGTTCTTGCTGGGTAAGGCCTTTCACAGTGCTCCATCGAGCGTTACAGTGAGGATTATGGGTACCCGATACCCACATGATATGGTTATCCGACTAGTTATAGAGGATAACTTATATTAACTCCGTTTTAGGTTATAAGACTTTCTAGGATTGTCCACATTCATATAGATGTTAGTGAATCTAGTTACACATATATGTCTAGATTCGTTAACATATATATGAATGTGAGTAATACTAGAAAGTCTTATAGTATGAAACGGAGGAAGTATCTATGAAATATGTACACATCATGACTTGGGTATAATGTTTCATTGTATATTACAGAACGACATAAAGTTCTAGATTGATAATATTGTAAAGTAGATTTAGGAAACCGATACCGTATTGGTTAATGTTTCTATCTTGTAATTCTGCCCCCATCCTATATAAGGCCGGCAGGAGGCCCTATAGGGCAAGAGATTCACAACTAGATCATCAGATTAATACAACACCTGGCGTATTCAAATCCCCAATCAGAAGTAGAATATTGCATCTCATTGAGAGGGCCTGAACCTGTTCAAATCTTTTGTCTCCGCATCCATCCACTTATAAGTCTCGTGCGCTACCCCATTTATACTGCCAAAATATTGTTTCGACAATTAAAAACTTGTGCTAGCTAGGAAAATTGCGGACGTGGCGAGCACGACCGCGTCCTTCCACGTCCTTCAAGAGCCGCTCGCCCGCGCGAGACCATGCGAGGCGGAGAGAACGGCTGGAGCCTGCGCTGTGGAGGGTGTGCCTCCGACTCGCGGTTCCCTCGCACCCTTCCGCTCTGCGTCGCCGACCTCGTCGTCATCCACGCGCTCCGCTTCGTGCCGCCGCCCTCCAAAACCTCGTCGCCGGCGGGAATTGGAGACGAAGCGAGGAGGACGACGACCACGAGCGGCTCCTGATCAGCGCCGCCGCCCACGTCCTCTCGCCGGCACTTCTTCGCGAGGCCTCGAGGATGCCAGCGCCGCTCGGCCCCAAGGATGCCACCGCTACTATGGGAGTGGGAGAGGAGAGCCGGGGTCGCTGCCGTGCCGCCACCGTCGTCGAATCGTCGTCGTCGCCCTCCAGATCGGCGCCGCCATCATCGGCTCGTCGCCCTCCGGATTTGCGCTCCCCTCGTCGAGTCGTCAGCTCGTCACCCTCCAGATCCATGCCGCCATCGTCAAGTCGTCGCCCACTCGCGCGTATCACCGTCGCTGTCGTCCCTCGTCGTCGTCGTCCCCCGCTCGCGTGCCAAGGAGCTCGGTCGGTGGGTCCACCGCCTCCTCGACCACCACTGTGTCCCCCTGTTGGCTCTGCCGATTGATGGCCGCCGATTGACCTTGTCGTCGTCGATTGGATTGGGCCGCCTATTCTCTTTCTGTGGCCAGGAAAGGGGATAATCGGGAGAAAGGGGAAAGTGGGAGAGAGAAGGCCAGTGAAAGTTCAGGGTGGTTGGGTTGGGGTTCCCGCGAAAGTATTTTGCACTGTGGGAGTAGTGGATTTGATGTGCATTTGTCCTACGTGGTGTACAAGGTAACTCAGATGAGGTGCTTGTACTGCTACTGCCCTAATAGTGCCTCCCTAATATTCGTGTGCACGAGCCATGCAATTTACTCCTTATGTCTTAAATTTTAAATTTTAAGACTTATATTTTTTACATGGTTTTCAATATCATACTTTGACAATTAGTTTATTTTATGTTTTGTTCCAATAAAGGTGAAATTAGCATTACATTAATGTAATTTAAAATATGAATGTATGATATAGCATAGATATGCTTAGAATAATAATTATGCCAGATTATGCTCAGTTTTATTTTCTATCAGGTGACTGCTAACTTTGGTTACGTCTTAAAGGTCTCATCTTGCCTACCAGATTGTTTAGTTTAACATGGGAGAATATCATGATAGATAATTTACACAATAACTACATTCAGTGCTAATGTTTACATAGCTCATTCCTCATAAAACGGTCCTGATCATCCCGCTCCGGATTCAGCCTACCTCCCTTCTCCATCCTGCACAGTTGCACCCTCACCCTCCCCACATCCACGCGCCTCATCTGGCCCTCCCTAACCCTAACCCCGCAGCCTCGCCTCAAAGCGTCGTGAATTGTCGTTGTTGCAAGCGTCAGTGCAGGCGATGCCGATCCCCAGTTAAAGCTGTTCTCGCCCTGTCCTCGACCAGTCTCCGCTGCCACCTCGCCCACCATCGGTCTGCCCTCGCTAGACTGACGGCACGACACCCTGCCTCCTCACCCTGGTCGCCTCAGAGCATCTTACACCGGACCACTGTCACTCGTAGCACCCTCCCCCATCGTCGCTTCCAATCCCACGGATCACGTCTCTGTTCACGGCCATCGCGGACCGCACCCCTCTTACCAGAACAGCAACATCACCACCGTCTACAGGAGCAGCATCCCCGTTCGGGTCGCAGTAGACAACCATGTGATGTGATTGGATTGGTTTTTTTTTCTATTTGGTAGCTTCAAAACACTCATCACATAGACTGTTGGTACATTTTTTAGACCAATCAGAGAGGTTTTTTTTAATCTTTTCTTTGGTGACTATTGTGGATTGCTCTGTTGACACTTTTCTGCTAATGACACGATGATGATCACAGCGTTGCAATTGGTCTGGTGTCTACTGTTGATAGATGATTCCGATAGGTGTATAGATAAATATAGTGACATATACGTGTGATCCTCCGCTGCCAGATCAATGAAGGATTTCTAACTGTAACAATGACATAGCAAGGTTTTGCTCATTTTTATTTTATATCAGGTGACTGCTAACCTTGATTACGTTTTAAAGGTCTGATCTGCTTACCAGATTGTTTAATTTAACATGGGAAAAATATAATGACATATATTTTTAGACAATAACTACATTAAGTGCCAATGCTTTACATATACCTCATTAAGCATGGAATGGTTAGGATCATCCCACTCCGATCCAACGCACCAGACTCACCCCACCTCCCTTCTCCTTCCTGCACAATCGCGCCCTCCCCCTCCCTGCATTCACACGCCCCATCTGACCCTCCCTAACACTAGCCGTGTGGCCTCGCCTCAAGCGTTCTGAATCATCGTCGTTCCAAGTATCAGTGCAGGCACTGCCGATCCCCAGTCAAAGACGTCCTTGCTCAGTACTCAACCAGTCGTCGCCGCCGCCTCACTCTGGTCGCCTCAGAGCAACTCGCACCGAACCACCAGCCCCCCTCCCGCATCATCGCTTCCGATCCCGTGGGTCGCGCCTCTGTTCACAGACATCCGGAACCGCGCCCCTCCAACCGGAACAACAACATCACCACCGTCGATGGGAGCATGCATCATTCTGGTCGGTCTGACAAATTCCACAATAGTCAAGGATCCAAAAAGAACCGGGACTAAAAATTGTTTTTAGTCCCGGTTATAAAAATTTTCTTTAGTCCCGGTTCGTGGCCTGTCAGAGGCATGTCAGGAGGCCGAGGACCACTTTAGTCTGATCTTTACTCCCGATTGGTAGACTAAAGATCTATCTTTAGTCTCGGTTTAAAACTCCAACCGGGAGTAAATATTTCTCTCCCACATCTAATCGGTTAAGTCCCAGACCAGCTTCCTCCTCATATTCTCCTCCTATCTCTCAGATCAGATCTAGCTCCTTCCTCTCCTCTCCTCCCCTTCCTCCTCCTCTCCCTCCTCCCCTTCCTCCTCCTCCCCTCTACTCCTCACATCTGAGGGCCGGCGGCGGCGGGGCCGTGACCAGCGCGGTGGCGGGCGGCGGCCGTGGCATGCAGCCGGTTCTCCCCCTTTTTTTTATTTGTGATTTAAGAGATGTATAATTTCTTCTATTACAATTTGTGATTCATTGCATAAATCTAAGATGTATAATCGATCTGTGATGCATTTCATTTGTGTGCAATTTGTTTAAGATTTGTGATGTTTTGTAGGATTTAGGATTTGTATTTGGGATGTTACATTGATTTGGGGATTTGGGTATATGCATGGCAATCAGATTTGGGAATTTGGGGATTTGTTGTGTGATTTGGGTATATACATCCAACTTGATTTGAGAGAAAATAAAAAGAAAATAGGAACTGCCCTAGGACTGCCTTATCGATACCAACCGGGACTAAAGATCAATCTTTACTCCCGGTTATTTTACCCGGGACTAAAGATAGCGATCTTCTATCTTTAGTCCCGGATTGGTAGTCCCGGAGTTACAAACCGGGACTAAAAAGCAACTCTCCACCAGTGCATCCAAATCGGTGGCAGACAACCAGGTGATTGTATTTGTTTTATTTTATTTGGTAGCTTCAAATAAATACCTATCACATAGATTGTTGGTACATTTTTAAGACCAGTAGAGGTTTTTTTTAAATCTTT